ATAGGAATTCCAATATAGCATATTGGCTAAACCAAAAAGGTAGGTGAAACCCAACTGCTGCTCTCAGAAAGCAATTGAAAGCCAAGTTCAAATGGAGTGTGATGAGCTGTTCAAACACCCATTTCTGTATACTATTATATTGTTCTGTATCAGAGTTAAAGACTTGCAAATAAAGGCATTAACATTATTTTGTGCCAATCGTTAAAGGACATACCTTTCAGTTTTCTTGCGATGGAAGAGGCATTTACTATGGGCCTACTATAGGTGATGATAATACTGCAGAGTAACAGTAAAAAAAAATATTGAAAGAAATATTTGCCTCACTGTGTCTGCTGGGTGGTCAATTTTTGGACAATGTCAGGTCACACTAAGTCACTACCCCTAAAATTTCCTGCTCGTAAGCAACTTCATAACTCCTGCTTCTATTATTTAGTTTGCTAATTGAATGACTCGGTAAATTCAACTCTGAATTAAATAGCTGATGAAGGATGGGTCATAGACTGCTTATTTAGCTTTGTAAAAAATGATATAGACAAACTGCTGATGAAGATCAAATTGATAGGTGTCAAGGTGAAAAAAAAAGTGTTTGTCAGCGGTACAGTAAAGCACTTTGGAGACCTGGAATGCACTCATATGCATGAACAATAAAACACTTCTTGATGATAGTCTGCCTCACAGTTCATTTGCCTGAAAATCTCTTGGCAACCATCTGGATCAGGTTTAAATAAAATGTAATACTAAGCCCCTAATCTGACAGTGATAAGCTGGTGACAATGATTATTCATGAGTTTAGAGGGGGAGTAGACCTTGAAGAGGCAGATGTGAGGCCTTTATTTCAGGCCCAATTTCAGTGCTTTGAATGAATAGGAAACCACTTCAGAACATAAGGTTCACTTTAATATAAGGATAAAATATGCTACTTTAATTAGCTTGACATCTAATTGCCTTCCAATTGTCAGAAATTTAAGTTATGCTAAAGAAAAACAAAGTTAATTTTTAACCCAGGTTTACTGTACATTCACTTCTTTAGCAGTCTAAAATATATTATTTTTATTAAAGGTGCATTTTAAATAAATTGATTACCTAAAGGAAATTAAACAGCTTGGCCTTGTTTCAGTGAGGCAATGATTACAAATATCTGGTAAAGCCACTTTCCACCTTTGTGAAAACGAAACTTCAGGTGGGGTTTTCAAAAGCACTCTCCATTGGCCTCACTCTGCTCCCTCTGAAGTCAATTTTATTACTTTCTAAACTTTCAGGCCACCACTGAAAGCTTTTGAAAAACCCACCCTCTATTCAGCATGGACCAGATCCAAAGTCCATTGATATCAACGAGAGTCTTTCTGTTGACTTTGATGGATTTTGGATCAAACCTCAGATTTGCTCAGATTATGATGGGAAATGCTGTTGGACATTTAGGGATTGATTCTTGAAAAAGACTCTGCTCTAATTTTGTGGGAACAATTATAGACCTTTCCTAAAAGTGATGGCTTTATGTCTATCAGGTCCAAACCTTTTTCTCCCTATTTGCTATTCATAGATGTACTATAGTAGCAACAGGGAGGAGTTCTATAATCTATGCTATATGTGGGTAGAGCTATGTAATCTCATCTCCATTCCTAGGGAAGAAAGAGTCCCTCTTGCAAGCTCATCTACTTTATATCTGGAAGCTGCTCACCTGGTATTCAATATAACTCTCCATTTATGCTGCAACTACAACAAATGCTACAGTAGCTGCTCCATACTGTGAATGCCTTTTAGGAACCTGTGTTTGATGTAAGTAAAGTGCTCTCTTTTCTGTCTGTTCCCAAAGGAGAACTTTGAATTGCTTCTGAAAATGGAGATGCACAGAATGTTCCAGCCAGAAAGTAGTTGTAGCATTTGCAGTCTCCCCTGTTTGACCTGACTGCATTCCAATGTGCAAATGTTTTCCCAATGGTGCAAACTGTACGATAGTCAGGACCCTCATGGATAATTCAAATGCCAGCAGTTCATTGGAACAATTCCAGCTAAACTGGAAAAACAACATACCTACTGGTTTTAGAAAACATCCAGGAGAAAAATGGTAGTCCCAGAACAAGGGCCACATAAATTGCTAACCACTTCCAGTGTTTTCATTGATTACTGTTGATTGTATTAGTTATTTTTATAGTACAGTAACAGCTACAAGCTCCAACTGAGATTGGGACCTCATTGTGCTAGACACTGTACAAACACATAGTAAAAGACAGTCCCATCCTCAAAGAGCTTATCATCTAAACAGACAAAGATAGAAAAAGATGTAAGAGGAAAAAAGGCAGAGAGGTGATTTGCCTTAGATCATTCAACAGGTCAGTGGTAGAGCCAGAAATAGATCCCAAATCTCCCCTATCCAATGGGCAACACTAACTCTCAGTTACGATTTTCAATGTTGTTGTAGCCGTGTTGATACCAGGATATTAGAGAGACCAGGTGGGCGAGGTAATACTCTTTTTGGATTAACTTCTGTTACTGAAAGAGACAGGCTTTCAAACTAACACACAGCTCTTCTTGACCCTGAAGAAGAGCTCTGTGTAATCTCCAAAGCTTGTCTCTTTCACCAACAGAAGTTGGTCCAATAAAAGATACTACCTCACCCACCTTGTCTCTCAGTTATGATGTCCTTTTCATCTGTTTCGTAAGCTTCATTTTTCTCTCTCTCTCTAAGGCCCAGTGGTGTTTGGTGAGTATTATGCTTACAAAAAGCAACAGAGAGTCCTGTGGCATCTTTAAGACTAACAGATGTATTGGACATTCACCCGCGAAAGCTTATGCTCCAATACATCTGTTAGTCTTAAAGGTGCCACAGGACTCTCTGTGGCTTTTTACAGATCCAGACTAACACGGCTACCCCTCTGATACTATTATGCTTACAGTTCAGATTCACAATGGCACAGCTGAAAGGCGACATTGAGAATTGCTTCCCCCTCTGATCCTATTGCCCGAGAAGGTACTGGGGTAATTATTACATTTCAAGCTCTCACCAGTGCTTACTGCTGGCTGTGGTGTGAGTTCGGAGTTAAACTCTCCAATGATTTGACTACACATGGTTCTGATGTCCTTACTCTGGGGCTGCCATTTTCCTACTTCATATTTTCCCTGATCCTCTCCTCCTGCTGTTGATCTTCCCTGCAGCACTTTCCCTTGCTCCAGCAAGATTGAACATAAGTCCTGTTCTGAGACTTACTCAGAAGGCACATTAGGTCCCCTGCTTTATACACATCCAGTCAGGAAGGACATCTAGGGCACAATCCAACATCCATTGAAGTCAATGGGAGCCCAAACTTTAACAATCTGGGGAAGGAAAGTCCCAAGGTTAGTCCTGAAACCAGATAACCTTGTATCAGGATCAGATCTGAGTGAATAGTGAGAAAAATTAGTCACAAATAGTGGATGAGTTCTAAACAGAGTTTTGTTCAGAGCAAGTCCTCACCACTCTCTACTAGTTTCCATGATCTTTGGGGTGAATGAAGTTACATTTGAATGAACTTTCACAAGGAGCTCATTTCAGGCCCATCACTGACATCTGTTTAATTGTGAAATTAAATTCAATTTGTGGCAAAACAAAATAGACAAGTATAGCTTATAAATGTTAAATCACTTATTCCAGATAGGAAATAGAAAGCAATACCATCTGGCCTACATGGCCAATCACAAAGCTTTAATATCAAATGATGTATACTTGAAAAATATTCCCAGCGAGGAGTCCATGCATAAGCCTTAGTCTGAAATCTGTTCACACAAAACATTTGACTAATTTTGGTAAGTGAAAAAAATCGAAAGGAAAAGAAAAAAGGCTGAAAATCACCAAAATGAACTGTTGCAAATTCTTCTCCCAGTTTTTGTCAGGATAAACATTAACTACTGTCTTGTCCACAGAGGTGATCACTGCACATCCATATTGAAGCACAATAGTCAAAGAGTCTGGGGGAATTGAAGTTTTAATTTGCTATTGTCTATATTACACCTGTTCTATGGATAGGGTATTTGGTTTCCTGATAGGAGTATTATAACTTGAATATTTATATACCTACATAGCTATCTATCTTAAGAAAGGTAATGATTTGTATAGTTAAAGTAAAAGAAAGCCGATTCACAAGGAAGCTTTAATACGAAGCTGGGGACTCTGAAGAAATAGTTATATCTGAGCAATAATGAAGACTGACCCGTGAATACAGGCATAGCAAATGAAGAAAGATACTTAGGCTGGTAAGGGGACACTAGTAGAGCATAGATACTTACCAGAAAGAGTGACTATAGCTTAATTAGCAAGACAAAAGTTTTTTAAATAGTGAAGGGAATATGTAAATCCAAAGTAATTCCATTATTTAGATACTACAAAGATGGGCACTATAGAAAACCTAAGGAGAGATAGCAACTAAGAGCAAAAAATTGCCTGTAGACTTCAAAGCTTCTGTTATAAAATTGACAGTGGCACTCTTTCAGATGCAGCAAGTAAACCATAGAATTAAAAATAAATGAAGAATGTGCTTAGGTACAGGGCTAGGAGAACAGACTGTACTAGTGCATGAGAAAGCAAAGAGATAGAACTGGCAGATACTAACAGAAAAAATTATAATCAAATCCATGACAGGCGGCATTGTGTGCACACATTTCAGCTTCAATGGAAATTGTTATGCACGTGGTTAGAGACAGAGGAAATCCCCAAAGCAGAAAAGAAAAGAAAGAAAAAAGAAAGAACGCCAATAGTGTAATATAAACACAGAGAGAGAAGGTGAGCCAATTTTGAAATCAAAACACTGTTATAAAATATTTTACATGCTTTGAATCCTTGTTGCTCCTATCACCTGTAGCTGAACAAACCATACTCCCTCGTGTACAATACCTGCTGCAGTTACTGGTGCCTTAATGGCCAAGATGAAGATGGAGTTTGGCTCTTTCCCATAGTTTTTCATTCACTGCACCATTTATTGCACCAATCCACTCCGTTCCCTAACTCCACCATTTCTCCTTCAGGACCTCTGAGCTGGCTGCAGTGAGGCTCTGAGAATCTACTGCAACATCTGGTGGACAAAAGGTTCTCGATCTCATCTGAGATCCAAATGTGCTCCGCTGCAGGTGACTGAATAACAATGAGTCTCCTTTTTTTGATTCATTCGCAGTTGGAAATGAGCATTTGGGGACTAGCGTGATGGTGGAAGATGGCAAGCTTGGCAGGTGTAAACACTAGAGCTAGAAGGCTTAAAGGATGAAACTCTCTGCTCCCTATTTAGAGGAAAAGGCAGCTCTTGCCACGGGAATGAGATTTGAGTTGAACAAGGGGTGGGAGCTCTGTCCTAGAGACCAGAAATCCTATCCCAGGGAGCAGAGATTCTGTCCAAGGGTCCTGTTTTGCTGTGGGTTCCCCACCCAGATATTCTGAACCTTGCGTGAGTGTTTCTGCAGGACTGGACCAGGACCAGGCTAAACTAGTGGCAGGAAAAATGCAGAGCTGACTTCACTGCAAGGATTGATTGGACCAATGGTAGCAAACTTGATGTCACAGAACTAGACCAGGTAGATGCACATTGGGTGGAACCTGATGGTGTGGCCTGCATTAGACTGCAGCAGACCAGGAGAAGAAAACCATCCTGTGACTACTACTGAATCTAATTGGCCTGGGAGTGGGGCATTAGGTGGGTGGGAATTGTTTGTAACTAAGTTCTGTAGCTATTAACAAATGTAAACTGTTGGCCATAGTCCTGATACAATAGAATGAGCAAAACCCAACAAGTGTATGTTGAGTTATATTGGTTATTATGTTTCTGTTGTTAGGTTTTTCCCCTTTCCCCAAATAAAAGGTAGCTGTGGTTCTATGTTCCCAAGGATTCCTGAGTCCTTATGAGTGACAAAGAATCACCCCCAAAGGTAACTAGGGAGATTTTATTTTAATCTCATAGAGCCAAAAGTAGTGTACAGTACTGGGTGGGAGCTCAAGCCATAGTTTTTTTTTATTTTAGAAAAAGATCCCAAGACAGACTGAACCTGGCACTTTTTGTTGCTATTGGAGCTTGGCAGAAGTGTTACATGGTCACTGTATTATTCCAGCAGTGCTCCCTTATGTCCTAGTGCCAAAAAAGGTCATCTTATTAGGCTATCCCTAAAATTGCACCTGATGTACTTCTGTTTCAGTTAGAGATGTGCCTGAGTTGCAAACACCTGGACTGTTCTGAAGTTTGGAAGTGTTTGGCCTGAACCAAAACCCTTGATCCAATCTCTAATTTAGTCAATGCAATCATAATAATCCATAGAAAACACCTAAAGTTAGCAGTACAGCAGAGGATCAAACTAGTCTAATCCTGAAAAGAATCTGGTAACTTTTGGGTAGAGAAAATAAAAAGATATAATGGGGCCTGATTACTGCCTGTTTTACACTGGTGTCGCTCCACTGAAATCATTGAAATGGATGTATGCAGTGGTGAGTCAGGCCCAATAAGAACAATGACCATGGATAGAGGAAATACGTCATGGAAGGGATATATTTGCTGTGCTAGGCAGTCAATATAGTTGCCATGCATGTCTGCATAAGGTGCGGGGGGAGGGGCAGTGGGTGTATATAGAAAGCTACCATATTATCTGACTGTGAATTTTATTTTGTGCTAGTTGAACAAAAATTGTTAAAAATAATTACTTTTCCAGAACTGTAGGTATCAGATTTATGGAGTGCATAGCTGTTCTATAGCAGCAGAGGTGAACCAAGGGAGGTATGCATATGCAATCTTGCTGACTGTAGTGCTGACAGGGCAGCTGTTCTGAAGGAAACAATTTTTATAAGGTACCTAAAAGAAAATTCTCCTGTGGCCAGATTGAGTAGAATACAAGATCTTGAACTCATAAATTCAAAAAGAATTTCCCCTAAGCTATAAAGACAGGTCTGGCTAAAAACTAGACCTTCCCTTACTGGATCTTTCCTTAGTAATGAAGTGACACATGACATTCATCTTTAATGCTGCACTATCAAACATGCTAAATAAGGTTCATTATTGATAAGTACATGGTGGCTATTAAGCTTTTAAGATAACATCTGTGGATCATATGAATTCACTTTTATATCAGAGCTTGGTATTTGACGTGGGAGACACTACTTTGTTGAGTTTGAAAAATATGAAGGAACTTCTGTCTCTATAGGAAAGAAGACAGCTCACAGACTTGAGTTACATGATATAATGCTGGGATATGTGGACATCAGATCAGTCACATGGGTTACAAATAGTGCAGTATACAAATGATGAAATTATGTTTGTGAAATTTCATGAAATATTTGTAATTTTATGATTGGCCATTTTTGAGACCCATTTTCACCTTTGACAAATTTTTCACGAAGTAGCTGATTTTGCATCGAAAACATGTACAATTAAGTTCTCTACATGTTTTGGTTAAAAAAATCTTTGAAATTAAATTTCACAATTTGAAATTTCAAAACTTGAGGGTATTGTTCAAATATAAGCATGAAATAAGGCCCATTTCACATTAAAATAGCTCTAATTTTTTATTAAAAATCATGAAATTTTAGTTTTTTCAACAATTCTGGACCACATCTGAAAATTTGCAACAAAAAGGCCACTTGCTTGAATGATGAAGATTACTCATGCTGCTGTAAATATTTTATATAGCTATCAGTGTTTGTGACCTATCTTTAAGCTTAGCAGAATTAAATTTGTATTTTTTATAATTCCAAGGGATAATGTTGATGTTTATTTATAAGCAATTTTTTAGTATATTGAGCTATTTAAATTTTCACAATTGCTCAAAATTAGGCATTTTAAGCATTTTTTTTTTCTATTTTTATCAATTTAAATTTTCACAGTTAAGGGGAGGGAGGTGAAACACTAATTATTTAATGACAGTAGAGGTTGAGATTCAAAAAGTTAAAGCTTTATAACCATTAAAACACATATTGTCAACATCACACATCAAAGTATACCAAATAAATATCCTTAAATCAAACTATAATAAGTTCTCAAGCAGCATTTTTCTTATTTTGCCTATCTGCAAATTTCAACTATCATCTATGTACATTTTTTTTGTCATATGTGCGCATGGTGAAATAGATGTTTACCAACATTTACCAATCAGAATCTAATCTTTCCAAGCCTACCTATCTTGATCTTTGAAGTTTTATTTTAGAATACATTCTCTATAATTCATAAAGTATATGAAGCTCAAGAGAATGGATTTTTTTTCTGGACAATTGTCTATAGGCCTAATCTTGTAGCACTGAAATCAATGAGAGCATGACCAGACCATCATCTATTGGTAAAATTCTGTATGTAATACAATATTTATTTATTGCCATTTACTAGCTTCCCTTAATGTTTCAAAAGCAAAATTACTGCTGGCCTGATATGATAGTGAATATATCCTCAAAGAAACATTTCTTGATATAGAAACAAATGGAAGTGTAAAGGCCTCATGCAAAATAAATTTTAACTTCAAGCAAAAAAAGAGACAGTTAATTATATAATTCTTTTCCTACCATCCTCTTCACCTCTCCCCCACCCTTCAACAAAAACCGAGATCTTAAAAATTTGTCACCTGAACCATCACATACAATATCTCATACAATGCCAGTGTGACCTGGACCTCCTGCAGTCCTGTGTAAATGACAAAATCCAAGGTTTATACACTCTCTTAAGGATCACGCAGTATGAGAAGGAGCTCATGGAAAATCATTGAAGACAAAGTTCATGTACTATAAACTAAGACCATACATTCTTCAGTTCACTGCTGCATAGTTAGACATCAGCCATAAAATCAAGAACTCAGACCTGAACATGATGGAATTCTGGGCATGTTTGAAGTCTGGGCAGGAATTTGACTATTGCAAATATCTTATCTGTATTATGAATTGAAATAAAAACCTTGATCTGAACAGTCCCAAATCAAGCTGGTCAGATTAATTTTTGTGAACAGGTTTGGCCATCATATTTAGCCCCTTTATAATGTTCATGAATTGCATGAGATATCAATTTTTTATGAACTTGTCTGTTACTCAAAATAATTTGGCAAATAGATCTCTAGTTTTACCCCTTCAGAATGAAGCTGTTGCTGGTTAGTTTAATGGTATATAGCAGGGCTATGTTTCCCTCCTTCCCACCACTATTTTCTCTAGGTTTTCAATTATTATTTCATCTAGGTGAAAATTCCCTTCTGTGACATCAAAGGGATGTGTTCAGTCAGTCAGACACCAAGGAAACACTTCTTTCCAAATCTTGTTCGATGGCTGATCATGTAACTATTTCAAGGACCTTGCTTCTCCTTGTTATTCAGTGTGCTGAGTACTCCTGGTGCTTTCTGGCAGTGAACACACCAACTTATTTTATGGAAGGGATGGGGAACAATTGTTAATGTTTCCCCTTTAATGAGAGATTTCAATTTGGTATTTCACCAATCCTAAGGACAGAGAGTTTGCAGTATAATTCCCGAGTATAATTGCCACCTTCATGTCTTTTTTCATAGGATAGTTCCACATTAGTATTACATTTGTACCCATTCTCATCACTCTCTGTGGTATAATGAAAGTGATCTCAAAGGTCCTAGACTGGAATAATGCAGGAATGACTTTGTATTTGATGTAAATCAATTCTGATATCTAAATATTTCATATTACTGGAAAAGCCCTGGCTTTCTTCTTGTTTTAAGCATCCTTTTGGGAAACAAATACAGATGAGATCTTTCTCAACAACATCTTAGAGCATCAATTGGCCTTTCTCCCAATGCTTCAAAGACACCATGTCAGCAGTTTTCTGTTTATTTCAAAGGGAAAAGTCAATATTTGGTCTCAGCTGCCATCTTTCCATCATAT